GAGGCTTGTGGGGTTGGGGTTCCTGGGTGGAGGGGGCTGGGCTGTGGGCTGGCTTCCTCCCCACTCCCTATTTTTCTGGGGTAGATGAATCTCCCCAGCGCCCAGGCCTCCTGGCTCTTCCCCGGACCTTTCAGGTGAGAAACTTTCCATTGTTGCCTTATCTCAGCAATCCGCCTCTCTTCCTTGCAGCGACCGCAGGTGCACACAGATCTGAGGCCCTGATCTGTTCCACTCTCTTTATGCCAAACAGAGGAGGGACGCGAACCCCAGCATGAAACGGCGCCCACAACCACAAGGCCCGGTGTGCGCCCTCTGAAACCGTAGGTAAAGACAATTACCGGCAATTTCCACAGCTTGGTTTGTTTTTTGTTCAAAGGCCATGGAGGCATTCTCAGCAGCAGGCCCAAAATGTAGTATTCCCACCGCACGCCGCCCTCATGAATTTGTGATAAAAGCTGTGGTCGCTTTGTCCCGGCTCTTCCTTTTAACAGTCAAACCTTCAGGTTTGATGTTGAAACTGCTTTTTTCTTCAAGTGTACTTTGATGGTGAAGATAACGCTTCATGATAAGGAACCTGCCTTCAAAACCACTCACTGTACCTCGTGCTCACCATTAAGATGCACGTCACAAGGGAAAATCAGGCACCTGAATTTTTGAGTAGTGGGATGGGAATGTGCTGAATCTGTGAAATTCTCCTCTGTGCTGCCCGTATTGGAGATTTTGCCATCCCCCAACCCCCAAGAAAAGGAGAAGAAGAAGGAGGAGAAGGGGAAGGGGAAGAAAGAAAGAAGAAAGAAGAAGGAAGAAAAAGAAAGAGAAGAAATAAAGCACCAGGCACTGACCAGAAGGAGGTCCTGGGGCGGGAGGAAAATGGTGTGAAACGTCCTAGAGACAGCTGTTTTTCCTTTGGCAAAAGCTGTCAAGAATCTACACGTCCGTGCCCATCTGTTTTCCTTAATTAAAAAGACTCTGCAAAATTGATGCTAAGTGGCCCAGAGCCTCTAAGAGCTTGTGAATATCCGAGTACTCTTGGGGAGGCCGCCCAGGTTCCAGGTTCCTCAGCTGTTGCATCTCCTGTAGTCATGTTTAAGCTCTTCCCTTTGTTCATCAATATTTGCAATCTCCCAAGGGCTGACTACCCTTGGAGCCATTATATCACAATAGGAATAGACCCTGTGTTGCTTTGTGCAAGCAATGATTGTTTTTTTATTCTAAAGCACTTTCATGTCTATTATCTCCCTTCCTATAGAGAAAGTTTTTATTTATTATTATTATTATTTGAGATGGAGTCTTGCTCTGTTGCCCAGGCTGGAGTGCAGTGGAGCAATCTTGGCTCACTGCAACCTCTGCCTCCCAGGTTCAAGTGATTCTCCTGCTTCAGCCTCCCAAGTGGCTGCGATTACAGGCACACGCCATCACACCCGGCTACATTTTTTTGTATTTTTAGTAGAGACAGGGTTTCACCATATTGTCCAGACTGGTCTTGAACTCCTGACCTCAAGTGATCCGCCTGCCTTGGACTCTAAAAGTGGTGGGATTACAGGTGTGAGCCACTGCACCCAGCCTTATTTTTTATTCTATTTTTCAGAGATAGGATCTTATTCTGTTACCCAGGCCGATCATAGCTCATAGTAACCTCAAATTCCTGAGCTCAAGCAATCCTCCCACCTCAGCCTCTCAAGTAGTTAGGACTAGAGGTATGCACCACCATATTCAGCTAATTAAATGCTTGGGTTTTTTTAGAAATGGGGTCTTGCTATGTTGCACAGGCTGGTCTCAAACTCCTAACCTCAAGTGATCCTCCTACCTTTGCCTTCCAGAGGGCTGGGATTACAGGCATGAGCCACTGCGCCTGGCCCTGTGGAGAAGGTTGACCAATATGGCAGCCCATGCAAACCCCTGAGGTGTTCTATGCCCATTTTACAGATAAGGCAAGAACAGTTTGAGCAGCAGCTGCAGAAAGAACTCTGAAGCCAAAGGAGGCTTCTCGGGGAGGTCCCATAATTGTGTCTGAAGAGACCAGGCATGTTCAAAGACGTCCAAGTTTTGTACTGAAATCAGTGGCTTCCAGGTTTCTTAAGAGAGACCATCTTGGCTCTTGATTTTATTTTTCACTTTGTCTTGTGCCCAAGGACCCCAGAGATCCCAGGCCTGTGAGGTAGAGAGGTGAGAGCTGGCTTACATTAGTCAAACCGTGGGTTGAATCCTGGCCTACTAGCTGTGTGACACTAGGTGAGCTACTTCAGATCTCTGGGCCTCAATTTCTTCATCAGGAAAATGCCAGTGTCACAGTAAAATCTCTTTAGGGTCCCTGCCAGGCGTGACAGTTGATAGTTCTGTTATTCCCTGGATTGCCCTGGATTTGCATCATCCTAACACCTGGCAGGTTTTGAAGCCCATTCACGCGCTTTTAGCAGCTCATTCAGTCCCCACCACAGCTCTGTGGGTTGGGGAGGCAGGCAGGCCTGCCATGTTTTCCCATTCCCGTTTGAGAGATGGGGAAACTGAGGCACAGAGAGTTGAAGTGGCTAGCCATGGGAACCACAGCAGGCTGGGGGTAGCCAGGACCTGAGCAGGCATGTGGGGACCTCTGGACCACTGTCTTGTGGGCAACCTCATCAACAGGGATCCCCACCATGCCACACTGGAGGGCCAAGCATTGTCATGGCCATGACAGCTGCTGAGACCAAAGTTTGGGCCAGTTTCAGGGTCTGGCTTGCAGTGTCTGGCCCTCTGGGCCTCCTTACCCCATGCAGCTCCAGTTGCTCGGCTCTCGGCCCAACATAGAACACTGGGCAGGATTCAGGAGCTGCTCCCGGAGGCCCCTGCAAAGGCCTTTCAGAGGAGGTGGCCCTGGAATCACTACTCCAGCAGACTCTTCCTACCTCGGCAACTCCCCTCTGTGTCCACACTCCCTGCCTTGGATCACACAGGTTTCCTTTCTTGGGATCCTCTCATTCCTCCTCCCTGCCAACCTGATTCCTAGCTATCCTTTAAAGTCCAAGGACCCTGTGTTTGAGCCAAGTGCTCTACGTACATTTTGTTATTTAATCATCTCTAAGTCTGTTTTCTCATCTCTAAAGTAAGAATGAAAATACCCGTGATAGCATAATTTGCCCCCTATTTTACCAAGGAGGAAAATGAGGCTCATGCCACGTGCCTGAGGTCACACAATTCATAAGGGATGGAGCCAGGATTGAGCCTCAGGGCTTAAAAAACCTGGGACCTCTGCACCACTCCACTTTGAATTCTTTATCCAGGTCACAAAGCACTGGAGGACTGCTCGGGCCCGTGGCCACTGGAGCATTCCCAGCCTCTGCTAAGTGTCTGTCCTCTGGGTCTCTCTTGTCTCCCTCTGTGAACTCTGAGTCCTACAGGCCAGAGACTGCATCCTGTCTGCTCCACACCCTAGCCTGTCATATAGTTGCTCTTGGTAAGTCCTTGCTAGTTGAAGGCTCATAGTGGACACATCTGCCGTGCAGAGGGATACCAAGGCCAGCTGAGACCTGGAAGCCTGGAGCCCGGACATTCCAGAACTCTTTGACATAGCACTTAGAACACAGAAGTACAGTTTTCCCCACTGACCACAAACTTGGTCATGATTCTTCTAACCATGCAGGATAATACGACATTTAAAAGCACAGGCTTGGCTGGGCACAGTGGCTCATGCCTGTAACCCCAGCACTTTGGGAGGCCGAGGAAGGCGGATCACTTGAGGTCAGGAGTCTGAGACCAGCCTGGCCAACATGGTGAAACCCCCATCTCTGCTAAAAATACAAAAATTAGCCGGGCATGGTGGCAGGTGCCTGTAATCTCAGCTACTTGGGAGGCTGAGGCATGAGAATTGCTTGAACCCAGGAGGTGGAGGTTGCAGTGAGATGAGATCGTGCCACTGCACTCCAGCTTGGGCAACAGAGGGAGACTCCATCTCAAAAAAAACAAAAAAACACAGGCTCGGGGTTTGACACTGTTTTCCATCACTGTGTGACTCAAGGCAAGTGACTTTATATATTTCATAAATCTGAATCTTATGGATTTCATAAATCTAAATCTGCATCCATTGTAAGGTATATCATATTTTATGTTGTACCACAAAAGGTAAAGCACTCCTTGCCAGTTTAGCTATAAGAGCCATCGATTGTAAGATGCGTCTCAGTTTCAGAGAAGCTAAGATTTATACAGACATTCACCAAAAAAATTTTATATATATATATAATATTAATTTGCATTTCCCTGATGATATATATATATATGAATGGCTGATAAGCACATGAAAAGATACTCAACATCATTAGTCAAGTCATCAGGGAAATGCAGATTAAAACCACAATGAGGTACCACTACTGCATCCATTAGAATAGCTGAAAAACAAAATGAAACGAAACAAAACAAAACCCAAACTGACCACACCAGGTTGGCAAGGAGGTGAAGCAGTTATATTGCTGATATGAATATAAAACCAATTTGGATAACAGTTTGGCAGCTCCTTCAAAAGATAAACATGTATCTATTATATGATCCAGACATTCTAGTCCTAGATATTTACCCAACGGAAATTAAAACATGTCCACCCAAAGATTTCTACACAAATGTTTATAGCAACTTTATTTATAATAGCCGAAAGCTAGAAACAACCATAAGGTCTACCAATAAGTGAATGGATAAAGATATGGTGGCATATCCATGCAATGGAGTAGTATTCAGCGATCAAAAGGAATTCACTATTGGTATGTGCAACAACATGGATAAATCTCACAATAATTATGTTGAGTGAAAAAATCCAGACAAAAGAGAGTTCATACTATATAATTTGATTTATATAAGACTCTACAAAATGTAAAGGAATCTCTATTGACAGAAAGCAGATCAGTGGTTGCTGAGGATTGGGGTAGAAGGAAGGAGGAATGGATTACAAAGAAGCACAAGAAAACTGTTGGGAGTGCTGGAGATGTCTGTCATATCGATTGTAGTAATAGCTGCACGGGTGTAAACCTGTTCAAACTTACCGAATGGAGGCTCAGACCAGCCTGCAGAGCTGCAGCCACCCTTCATGCCCTCCCTAACCTCCCTGCTAACAATCATGCTCCAGTTCCTACTTGGATTCACTTTGGCCAACGTGATTGGAATGTATCTGGCTCAGAACTATGATGTACCAAACCTGGCTAAAAAAAAAAGGACTTGAAGCCAGGAAGAAAGAAACCCCCTAGTCGATGAGGCCGACTCTAGCACTGCCTTCTGGATACACTGATTCCACCACTCTTGAGGACCTCCTTTACCATCTCAACCAAAGTCTTTTGTTTTTATCTCCAGCCTCAGTGATTTTCTTCCTTGCTAGACCCTGTGTTTTTTGCCTTAGAGGAAGCAAAATGAGGCCCCAAGTTGAGAACTGTCATTAGGTTTCTGATATCTCACCTCTTGCTATCTCCTTCTTCCAGCTGAGTGGGAGGTTCTAAGACTGGAATTACGGTGCTAGATTAGTAAACATGACCTTTAATAAGTAGTCTCTTATTTATTTGGGATTTCTACTACCTTTTGTCAAAAGAAAAATTGAGGAGTTTTGTATAGCAGGTCAAATACAAATAATACTTATTTCACAGATTTTAGCAACTAAAATAGGTGCTTGTTAAACATTTGGTACTAAATTGTGTTGTTTTGGCTGGACAGGGTGGTTCACACTTGTAATCCCATTACTTTGGGAAGCTGAGGTGGGTAGATTGCCTGAGATCAGGAGTTTGAGACCAGCCTGGGCAACATGGTGAAACTCTGTCTCTACCAAAAATACAAAAAGTTATCTAGGGCCAGGTGTGGTGGCTCACGCCTGTAATCCCGGCACTTTGGGAGGCTGAGGCAGGGGGATCACCTGGTCGAGAGTTCGAGACCAGCCTAGCTGACATGGTGAAACCCCGTCTCTACTAAAAATACAAAAAAGTAGCCGGGTGTGGTGGCGCATGCCTGTAATCCCGGCTACTCGGGAGGCTGAGGCAGGGGAATCATTTGAACCTGGGAGGCAGAGGTTGCAGTGAGCTGAGATC